CCCCAAAACCCCAAAACCCCAAAACCCCTTAAGTAGATAGTTATTGAAATGTTAAAGCACAGAATTATTAATGAGTAAATGACCTCTTATTAGGAGTTTGAGTTTAAAAATCAGTCTCTAACAACGAATCTATCGAATCCTCTAGCTTGAGTATCCTAATAACCAACCATACCATCTCCATTACCTTGCATCAAGGTTCTTCTCTTGATTTCCAAAAGAGATCTAAGATCCTTGAATAATTTTACTTAAAGCGCATAGTTTTCACTGTTATCCTTGATATGTCTTTGATGACTCTTGAGATCCTTCATAATATTCTCTTGTTGTCTCAACTATAATTTATGGGTTTAACGAATGAATAATTACCTTAGCATTGAAGAAATCAGAGTAGCTCTTGAACTCATTGCTAAGTCTCTTGTCTGGAGTGTTTAGGAATTTAGCCTCGTTTCCGATTCTCTTGAGGAATGCGTCATAGATTTCATTCTGAATGTTATTGTGATGGAACTTAGACTCCTCAGTTTTGTATTCATCGAATAGTTGCTTGACCTCATCTTCAAGCTTGTTCTTTTCTTGATCAAGATTTTGAACAACAGCATCATAATGCTTCTTCTTTTCAGTGTAAATAGCCTCGAGCTCAGAGAACTTCTGTCTAAATCCTCTTAGTTTCTTGATCTCTGGTGCAAGCTTTTGCTTCTTGTCCTTCACTTCATTTTCAATCTGCTGAACAACAGTAGTGATTTCTTGAAGTGTTGATTCCTTCTTGTTATTTAGCATTTGGTTGGTCTCGGAAACATGAACAAGTTTGTCTTGAACATCCTGGATACCACTGATGCCTCTTTACTTCTCAAGATCTCTCATGAACTCATCTAAGTTATCTGCTCTGCTCTTTAAGATGTTTTCTGTTCTTGAGAGGACAGTTACTTCAGACTTAATTTCACCTAGTACCTTTTTCATTTGTTTATATTGGGCATTTTTCCCTCTGAGATTAGCGGCATATTGCTTGAAGTCATCTCTCTTCATATACTTTCCACCTCTAGTCTTAGCATATTCTGATTCTTTGTCATTCATCAATTTCTCAAGAGCGATTTTTTCAGTGTCTAGCTTCTTTACCTCATCAAACTTTTACTCCTTCTTCTTTGAGACAGCAGTAGCCTAACTCTTATAAATAGCTAATTTGTCATCAGCTGGAGCATTCTGTCTAATTTTATCATCGAGAAGTTGGCATTCTCTTTGAAGTCTCTTAACATCGTTAGTTAATCTCTCAAGTTCACTTTAGGTTGTCATTGGTTCTTGAAGTACGAGTTCGATTCTCTAGAGCCTATCTTGCTTATCTTAAAGCTCTCTACCAAGAATATCATAGCAGAGTTCTCTGTTTCTTTTAGTTTCTATTCTGAGATTATCCAACATTTTATCAGGAGTAACATTGTCACTGTACATTTTCTTAATATCGAAGAATCTTTGCTTCACAGTTAAAAGTTGAGATTCGAAGAATTCGATCATATTGTTGAGTTCTCTTTCCTTCTCGTTAAGCTTTGCATCTTATTCCTATTCTTTTCTTAGCTTTGAGGTGCTTTCCAATAGAGCTTAGAAGTCTTCTTTGTTGCTTTTGTTCTTGAAAAGATTAATCTTTGTTAGCAGTTATTCTTTTTCCTGTTCAAGTTATTGAATTTCTTTCTTTAGATCTGCTGGGTTCATTGATTCCTATCTAAGACCTTCCACGTTCAAATGTGTTGCCTGGAACTCAGCTTACAGATCTTTGTAAATTTGGAAGGTTTCTCTCATATCCTCGTCTACTAAGAACTCGTCAGGGATGGCTAGTGGGACCAAGAATTTAGCAGTGTATGCTTTTCTTTGAAGTTCTTACATTCTGCTGATGATCCAGTGAAGAATATGATGTACAGTTCTCTTATCACCATGCACAACGTCTCTCATAAAGTTTGGATTGTAATCTGATGGATAGCCAAGAACTTTGAGGAAACCGCATATTCTTTCCTAAGTCTTGTCTTATGTTTCTTTCTGGATATCGATTGCCAGATGCTGAGCATCCAAATGACCAAGGAGTCTGTTTAAAAGCTCCAACAATTCAAGACTATAAATTTTAAGTAGACATGTTTTACGGAGGCTTATCATCGAATTCGACTAGAGAGAGATTGCACATGAAAGGTGGTCGGTTAAGTCCATCCACAATTTGCTTGATTTCATTAGTATCTAAATTCAAAATTGATAAAGATTATGATCAATAGAAATATGTAATTACTGAGATTTGGGGCCTTTGAGAAGACTTTTTGCTAAGGCACGGTGTTCCCGAATAAGTTTGATTGATCTAATTTTAATTATTTGCCTTAAATGGATATGTTACTGAATCCAGTTTGCATCTTCAGATGGTATTGATTTAATGAGGCAAAAGACCTATTTTTTGAATTTAAATTATATATTAATTTTGCTATATTGATTTATTGATTGCTAAGCAGTAACTAATAATTTCAAATGATGGGGTTTTGGGGTTTTGGGGTTTTGGGG